AGGACAAAGTTGAGAAGGGATGGGAAGGTGGGTGGAATGCAAATAGAAATCACAGAGAGGAAGTGGGAGAACTGTTGTTGCATGGAGAGGATTGTAATCATTGAGATGAAACAAAGTGTATGATGTAAAGCTGATGATCTTGTCTGTAAACCTTCACTCATTTCACAATGAAAAAAAAGAGTATGTTCGTAATTGTTATCTCTGGAGAGGGAACTGGGAATAAGCAGAAGGGGAGACTTTTCTCTTTATACTGTTAGATATTGCTTGACTTTTCCCTATGGGTTGTTTTAACTAAAAAAAAATTTTTTTAAATAGTGTTCTTTGTAGGGAAGGTCCGTAGGTGACACATAGGGTTTACACTCTACTTCTTACCTAAAGATTTGTGGTTTGAACCCATCCAGCAGTGCCACAGAAGAAAGACCTAGCGATGTGTTTCTGTAAAGAAGCCAAGAAAGCTCTATGAACAGTTATACTCTGTGATACATGAGGTCACTACGAGTTGGAATCGATACTCTCATTGAATTGTACATGTAAAAATGGTTGAAATGGCCAATGCTTTGTTATATCTATTGGTCTATATATTACAAAGCAATGTGTCATTTATTCTCAAAAACTTTGAGAATGTTCAATATGAAACTTGTACAATATGACAGCCAGGAGTTCTGATATGGAGCTGTAGGATAAGCACTGGACTGCTAACCCCAAGGTTGGTGGTTCAAACCCAGCAGCCACTCTTTGGAAACCCTATATGTCTACTGTGTGTTGATGGCGCTTAATAACAACAAACAGCCACATGTGGTTATTTAAATTTAAGTTAATAAAAGGAAATAAAATTGAAAAATCAATTCCTCAGTTCTACTAGTCTTATTTCAAGTCCTCAATGGCCACATATAGCTGTATTGAATAGAGTAGAAAGTTCCATTGATCAGCCAGTTCTAAATCATTGTATTCTTTCATAAGGTGGTGCCAGTTGGAATATACTGAAACCTGAATTAGCTAATTGTCGTTAAGTGTAACCTGTGCTTTATTGACTACTCAAAGGCTGTCGATTGTGTGGATCATGACAAGCTATGGACAACATTGTGAAGTATGAATATTCCGGAACACTTAATTGTGCTCATGAGGAATCTGTACATGGACCAAGAGGCAGTTGTTTGAACAGAATATGGGAACATTGGATGGTTTCAAATTAAGAAAGTGTGCAACAAGGTTGTATTCTTTCACCATACTTATTCAACCTGTATACTGAGCAAATAGAGAAACTGGATTCTATAAAGAAAAACGTGGCATCAGGATTGGAGGAAGATTCATTAACAACCTGCGATATGCAGATGATACAACCTTGCTTGGTGAAAGTGAAGAGAACTTAAAACATTTACTGATGAAGATCAAAGAGCACAGACTTCAGTATGGATTACATCTCAATGTAAAGAAAACAAAAATCCTCATCCCTGGACCAATAAACAACATTTTTTATCAACGGAGAAAAGATTGAAGTTGTCAAGGACTTCATTCTTCTTGGATCAACTATCAACACTCATGTAAGCAGCAGTCAAGAAATCAAATAACGTATTGCATTAGGCAAATCTGCTTCACAGGACCTATTTAAAGTGTTGAAGAGCAAAGATGTCAGCTTGAGGACTAAGGTGCGCCTGACCCAAGCCATAATATTTTCAATAACCTCATATGCATGCGAAAGCTGGACAGTGAATGAGGAAGACCGTAGAAGAATTGATGCTTTTGAGTTATGGTGTTGGAGGAGAATATTGAAAGTGCCATGGGCTGCCAAAAGAACTAATAGATCCGTGTTGGAAGAAGTGCAGCCAGAGTGCTCCTTGGAGGCCAGGATGGCCAAACTTCGTCTCTCATATTTCGGACATAGTGCCAGGAGGGACCAGTCGCTGGAGAAGGATATCATGTTTGGTAAGGTGGAGGGTCAGAGAAAAAGAGGAAGACCCCCAATGAGATGGATTGGCCAGGTGGCAGCATCGATGGACTCAAGCGTGGCAACAATATTGAGGTTGACCCAGGATCAGGCAGTGTTTCGTTCTGCTGTGCATAAGGTCGCTATGAGTTGACTTGTTGTTGTTAAGTGCCATCGAGTCGGTTCCGACCCATAGCGACCCTGTACAGGGTTTCCGAGGGTGTAAATCTTTACAGGAGTAGAAAGCCTCATCTTTCTCCCGCGGGCGGCTGGTAGTTTTCAACCGCTGACCTTAAGGTTCGCAGCCCGATTCATAACCACTACGCTACCAGAGCTAGGTGGCACATAACAACAAGTGTAGTTGACTAGGTTGTCATAGCAACCTTGTATGGGATTTCTAAGGAGCGTCTGGTGGGTTTGAATGCTTGACCTTGTGGTTAGCAATCCAGTGCTTATTCTATGGTGCCACACCAGGAATTAACTATAAGAAGGGAATCTATAGTTGAACCTTGAAGCCCTTGATTAAGCACTGGTGCTAGTTAGGCGTTACTGAAATAATGAAGGTGATTATCTTATTGGTGTCCTACAAAATATAGAAATCAGTCATATCTAGAGGCCTACAATGTATTCATGGCAAGGATGGCACCTGTTGAATCTCTATAGATCACAGAAACATTAGTGATGTTTGGACTGCTGGATTCCCTGGTTACCATGGAAATGAGGGTGCTGGATACAAGTTCGGTGTAATCACTAAGAGAGTAAGGCGGCAAGACTCCTTTCCCACCACTTCTGCCCCTTTCTTGCAACCATAAAGTATTAAGTTGTGCGTCATGAGTAGCCAAAGCAGAGGGAGAAACGACTAGTAATCTGACTAAGTATGGGGTGTCAGGGTGCATGTCCAAATGAGGAAGTGTGAAAAAAAAGAAACATGGCGGGGCTTTATTTCAGTAGAAAAAGGTTAGATCTACTACCTTAAACACAATGACATTGTTACTCTAGGTCTTGCACAGGCGCAGTGCAGGAATTCTCAGAGCACGCCAACGTGCGCACATTTTCTCCCCTTCTCCACTTTCCTCTGCCTCCCCGTATCTCCTCTATTTTTCCCCCACCCATCACTTGGTCTTTCAGCCTTTCTTTTAGTCCATTTATGTTTCTCCTTCCGAACCGCCATCCCCACTCCACCTCCTTATTACCCTTCCTACCCCCCCTTTCCTTTTCCATCTCACGCGCTCGGCCACTGGTGCATGCGCATTAGATACAAAATCTCGCTCTTTGTCCCCATCTGTCGTTCACAAGAACTCATATCTTTGCATTCGGTAGCCAATAGAATCTAAGAAATGGTGGAAAAATGATTCCGCCTCTGGAGATAAACCTTGATTGGCAGTTACTATCACCAATCGAAATGGCTACTTTGGGCCCCTTGGGAGGCACCGAGCTCCGTCGTCTTGCTTCCGGCGGTCGCGCGCTCTTTTCTCGGGACGGTAGAGGCCGTGTAGCGTCGCCGTTACTCAGAGGAGAACAGTTGGTGGAGGGTGAGTTCTCGAGCGGTTTTGTTCTTGTTTGGAAGGGATGTAGTATTTCTTCCTGTAGTCGGTGAAGGAAGAGACTAGGGCGAGGCCAGGTTTGATAAGTGGATGGCCATTCTTGAGCCCCTTGAGGCCTTGTTCCCACCGCCACTGTGGTGGCCTCCACAGTCCACCGGCGGTGGCCCATCGTTCTTAACCCGCCTCGCCTTCTAGTTTAATCTGTTTCCCGTTTTCTTACCTGCCCTCTCTCTGTTTAAGACTCATCATGAAATCTTAGCCCTGTCAGTAAGTTTCTAGGCTTTTAGTCGCCCTGGGCCTGAGGGTGTGGGGTCTATTATCCAAGCGCACTGAAGTGTCGTTGTTGTAAGGGGAGGCGCTTTGTCAGGCGCTCCTCCTCTGAGCTCTGCGAGGCCATTAATTCAAAATGGGAAAGTGCCCCCCCCAACACACAAACCCGGGCGATATTTCTTTGTCGAAACTCTCGATTGTGAAGTTCTGCTAGTCCCAGACCCAACCACTTTCTTAGTCAGGTTTCTGTATGCCCTTTTTCCTGGTGTTGCTGCTTATCTACCATTTAATAGCTTCACTTTTTCTAAATTAAACTCGGGTTTAGGGATTTCCTATTGGTTATTTTCCACTTTGAGACACTGTTATGTTAAACGGACACCTTTCTTTGTATTCTTATCTGGAAGTCCAGGTTATAGAGGACTGGGGGACACTTTGCTGTCTTTAAGTCGAAGTTGAGGATAGGTGAGGGGGTAGGTAGAGTTGCCAGGTAAATACCAATGCCTGGCTAAATTTGAATTCCAGATTGACAACGCATTACTTGTTAGTATAAATATGTTTCATGAGGTCTGTTGGTTGTTGAACCAAAATATTACTCATTTTAAAAAATCTGATGTTTAAATTTAACCATGTGGTGTATTTATTTGCAAAATATGGCAACCCTGGTAGGGGACCACTGACTAGATTTATGGAGTGTCTTTGTCCAATTTCTGTGTTAAATGAGAGATACTGAGAAACTCTTAGGAAAAAAAACCCAATGTGTCAGTGTGATGTAGCATTGAGTCCTGTAGCTAAACTAATATTTGTGCAACTGTATCATGCCCAATCTTTAAAATCCAGAAATACATTTTTTACTCAAGCAAGTTATCAGAGTTAGAAAAGTAGGCAGAAATCCTTACTGCTGATTTTTGTGCTTTGTTCTCTTCTCAGGCTGGTGGTTAGATGGCAGTGAATTTATTACTCAGAAGAGATTTTTGCACGTATTTCCAAGTCATCTTGGTGGTCATTATCAAAACTAGATAGGAACAAATACATAACCTGAGTATTGCTAGTTTGTAGGCTCTGTTCTGTAATACTTAGTAAATACCAGTGAATGTCTGCTTAGGAAAGATTATAAAGACTAACATTATGAAGACATTCAAAAACATAAAGTTGGCAATTTGGTTATAAAAAAATGGTTTTTGCTAAATCTGGAAGAGAAGGAAGATTGTAATTGATGACATTGGTCTAACTGGAGCATCCACCATATGTATAAATAGAAGTGGTGGTTGTCAGCAGGAACAAGTACCTATTATATTCCTGGATGGGGAGCTAAGTGCTTTATGTACATTATCTCATTTTAAGCCAATGAGGTGGATGTTATTGCTGCATTTGACAGTAAGACTCAGAAGTGCGGTATGCTTGACTACAAAGCCTGTAGCATAATGATGGATTTGATGAACTTTAGAATTCAACAGATCTGGGTTTTACTCTTCCGTCTCACTTACTGTGTGGCCTTGCATGGGCAAAGTACTCTTAGGCATCAGTTTCCTTATACAGAAAAATAAGTTGTGAGCACTAAATGAGATAATGCAGACTTGGCACAGTGCCTGGCATATAATGGTCAATAAATATCTAGTATTATCATCTTAACTACCAGGCTGTAGTTTCAGAAGTAAAAAATAACCTCCCTTGAGCATTTTGTATGTAAGTAAAGTGTTTATGGTGATGGGAAATTTGGCAAAGATAATGGGTAGTGGTTGCACCACAACAAGATTAATGTAATATTGCTAAATTGTACCCCTGAAAAATGTTGAATTGGCAAATGTGTGTGTGTGTATTGGAGTCCTAGTGTAGTGCTGTAGGATAAACACTGGACTGCTAACCATAAGGACGGTGGTTGAAATCCACCAGCTGCTCCTCTGAAAGTGACTGGAAGGCACTTACGGACAACACACGTATATAACACAATAATAAAAAGGTACAAATATATATTTTCTAGCAATACAAAAACATTTTAAGTCAGGATTACAGCTTTGTAATGTGAACAAAGGCTGGCATAAAGCTGGCAAATGAAAATAATTTTTTAGGTTTCTGTGATTTGGGGATGATTTGCATTTATTTATGTAGTAAAGTATGTAAATAAAAAATAATCTACCTTGAAATAATCTTAAATAGTCCTTAAAATTTTGTACTAAGCAAAATCTACATCTGGTTAACTGCTGTTGAGTCAGTTCTAACTCATAATGACTTTGTTAGGGTTTCTGGGGCTTTAAATCTTCACGGAGCAGAAAGCCTCATCTTTCTCCCATGGGAATGGCTGGCAAGCTCGAACCTTGGTCCTTGTGTGAGCAGTCCAGTGCTTAGGACATGGAGCGCACCCCAAAATCTACCTCTTGTTAAGTGCTGTCAAGTCAGTTCTGACCCATAGCGACCCTTGTATAGGATTTCCAAGAGGTTGGTGAGCTTGAACTGCCAATCTTACAGTTCAAACCGACTTTGCAGTCCAGGGCATAAACCCACAGCACCACAACAGGACTCCTAAAATCTACCTCTAGGAAGCAGATTATTTTTAATAGGTGATGGTGGTAAATGGCCTTTTAAAAAATGTATGGATAAGTGTCTGTTCAGATGTGAATGTAAAGTTTGGGGTATTTGAATTTTGAGTGACTCTTTCTAGTGACTTCTATTCACATGTAAATATATTATGAATGGGATGTAGAATACTGAGGCTGGGATCTCTTAATTGTAAATTACCAGCAGGAGGCAGGAAAAAAAAGGGTTCCTTAACTAAACTAGTTGGGAAAAAGGACTGTGGAAGTAGCCCAAGTTTCTACCACTGACCAGGAAAAGGGAGATGGTTAAACCCTAGGACCCACACAGGAAAAAAACCTAATTCTAATGCCCATGTTATCTCATGCTCAACTTTTACTGTTATGAATTTCCTATTTTTAATACTAGTTTTTTAAACATAATTTCCTTGGGGGGGGTGTCAGGATCCCATTTGCTGTGGAAGTGCTACATCTATTTATGGCATTTAAAATAAGTATAGCTGCTTTGAAAAACAATGCTGTACAACGTGGCAAGAGTCACAAATTAATAAATTCTATTTGAGGATTTATGCTAAGGAAAAAATTAAAAGTTAATAAGCAAGATTTGCTGTAGCATTGTAGGAAAAATCTGAAAACAACTTGAATGTAGGGAGTAGTTTAGTAAATTAGTGTACATCCAGAGGGACTTAAAAATTTTTAATTATGTCTGTTAAATGCCATCCAGTCGGTTCTGACTCATAGCAACCCTGTATAGGGTTTTCAGGAGGTGAATTTGAGCCACCAACCTTACAGTCCAATGTTTTATCCCATAGCACCACACCAGGACTTCATAGAAATGAGGGAAACCATAATTCAGTGGTGCATTATGATTACAGTTATTAAAACAATGCATGTTTTGATGGTAAAGAAAAATGGAGATTGTGGAAAAAATATTTCATAATGGATAGGCCCAAAGATTGACTACAACTTAAGTGTACTTGTATACAGCTGAATACTGAATTTATTAACAGTTAATACAGGCTTAACGACATGGAAATTGTTATTACAATGTGTCTTAAAGTATAAAAATAGATTTAAAATAACTTTTTATAATGTCCCATTAAAGTACATATAAATTGGTGGCCATATGACTGAATGGCAGTGGGTACATTAAAATATAATTTGCAGTAGGTACCTGAATGTAACTTTTGAAGCTTTGTAATATTAATGAGAAACATTATAAAATTGATGCAATGATAAAACATAAATGAGAAAATTAAAATCTTGGCTTGATAGTCACAGCTCTATTTAAAATTGCAGTCTGCCCCCTTCCTTTCCAGTATCTACTTTACACATTCCCTCACTAAAAATTTTTTCCAGTAACACCTCTTAAGTACTAATAGAAGCTAAGTTCTGAAGGCAAGCATCTTTGCTTTGTTCAATGATACATCCCAAGCCCCTAGATATCCGCTCCAACTCATAGCACCCTCTAAGGTTTCTAAGGAGTGACTGATGGGTTTGAATTGCCCACCTTGTTATTAGCCATCCAGTGCTTAAATTCTACAGTGCTACACCACAGGAATCCAGGCCTAGAATGGTGGTGGGTTGTGATTGTGAGCAGAAAGCCTCATCTTTCCCCTGCAGAGCCACTAGTAGGTTTAAACTACTGACCTTGCTGTTAGCAGCCCAGTTCATAATCTGCTCCACTACCATGGCTCCTTAAGGAGTTCTGGTAGCCTCTGGTAGCATAGTAGTTAGGAATCCGGCTGCTAATCTCACGGTCAGCAGTTCTGAGGGAGAAAGATGAAGCTTTCTGGTCCCGTAAAGATTTACAGCCTCGGAAACCCTATATAGGGTTGCTATGAGTCGGAACCGACTCCATGGCACATAACAGCAACAACAACAACCATGGCTCCTTGGAGTCCTGGTGTGGTGCTGTGGGCTAATGCCTCAGACTGCAGAGTCATTTGAACTGCAAGGTCAGTGGTTCAAGCTCACCAGCTGCTCCTAAGAAACCCTATAAAGTGTTGCTATGGATCAGAATTGACTCTACAGCACTTAAGAACAATACCATGGCTCCTTAGGCCTACAATGTTGTTGTTAAGTGCTTTCAAATCGGTTCCAACTTAAAGTGACCCTGTATGTTTAGGGTTTTTGAGGAATAGCTGGTGGGTTTGAACTACCAATCTTGTGGTTCCCAGTCCAGTGCTGATCTGCATCGCTATGCTAGAAGTTCTAGAATAGTCCTAGTAATTATTTGGTGAATTTTTGTTGAACGAATAAATAAAATGAAAAATTATCTATAACCTGTAAGTTAAAAAGTCATTTTTGCTTGCCTTTTGTTTTTTGTTTAGATTCTTTTTTTTTTAACTTTCCCTCTCAAAACATTTTTCATGTTACAAACTTTCATTAACTTAGAATATTTAAATAATTTGTATTGTTTTGCTAATATAAGGGCCATTACAGTGAACATTTTCATATAAGTAGCTTTAAATTATTGAAGTTATTTTCTTAAATTTCTAGTAAAGTTTCTAAATTAAATTGATCCTTTCAGTTTGGGTGAAATATGTTATAGTTTACTTGGGAAGTTTTTTATTGTGCTTAAAATATACATAACAGAAACAATTGTCATTTCAGTCATTTTTGGGTATATGATATAATGGAGTTAATGTTTACCATGTTGTGCAATTTCACCACTATGCATTTCCAGTGTTTTTTATTTCAAACAGAAACTGAGTACTCCTTAAGGAATAACTCATTTCTCTGTCCCACCCACCCTTGGTAATCTCTAATAAACTGGTCTTTCTGCATTTGCCTATTCTAGATATTTCATGTAAGTTGGATCATATCGTATTGGTCCTTTATTGTTTTATTTCCTTCACTTAGTATAATTAATGTTTTCAAGGTTCATCCATGCATATTGTAGCATGTATTAGAACTTAATTATCTCATTCTTTTTGTGGCTGGAAAATATTCCATTGTATGCATATACCACATTTCATTTATCCATTTATCTACTGATGGACACTTGGTTGTTTCCACTTTTTGGCTGTTTTTAGGAAAGTTTTTACATACATAATAGTATTCCCATGTACTTTTTATTTTAAATTAGTATTATCAAGCCCTTGTCACATTTTCTTCATCTGAGTATAGTATTCTCTAGTTTAAAGGGGACATGTTAATATTATTGCAGTATTCACGTAAAGATCTTTTTCTGTACCTTCAACTAAATTCTGACTAGGGGGTCTGTTATTTGGTGATAGTGGGGAGATGTTAATTTTTAAATGACAGATTTTAACATTTTATGGTTATATACTCATCTTTTCATATTTTCCTTTTATATTTCTTTGGCAGTTATTTAGTTTTGGGCTTTGCTTTGTAATAATTTTTATTGAGATCCTTGCTCCTCAGAAACCCTATACAGGGTTGCAATGAGCTGGAACCAACTGGACACCACATAACATTTAGCTAGGGTTTTTTGCATATTGCAGTCACTTTGAGAGGCAGATATTTTTATCATCCCCTTTATAACAGCCAAAGAAGAGAAGCAGGTTTACGATGTGGCACTGTAAGATCAGCATTGGAATGAGAACCACAAGTTTGGTGGTTCAAACCCACCAGCTGCTCCTCAAAAATCGGAGCCAACTTGACAGTACTTAACAACAACATAGCTAGAGTGTGTATTGGGACCACAATTCAAACCTTTTGTTTGAAATGGTCCCAACTCATAGTGACTGTGTGTAGGGTTTCCAAGGAGCATCTGATAGGTTTGAACCCCTGACCTTGTGGTTCATGGTCAGTGCTGATCCTACGGTACTACAACGTCTTAACTACACAGCCCATACTTTTCCCATGGTTCATTCCACGGTATCTCCTGTGGGCTAGGACTGTACTAGAGAGTGAGAATAAGACATAACTTTTTACTCTTGTGATAACTAGACTATTTCTGAACTGTCCAGTCTATTCTATTTAATCTATTTTGTGTTGGTATTAAACTATTTCAAATAGTCTTTATAATATGTTTATGCCATTAGTTGGTTCCAATTCATAGCAACTGTGTTTTCTTGGCTGTCAGGGCTTTGTGGATTTGAACTGCCAACCTTTTAGTTAACAGCTAGGTGTTTAACCATTGCAACATCAAAACTGCTCTTTAGTATGTAATAAGGCTGTTTTTTTGTGTGTGTGTGGGTTTTTTTTTTCTTTCTTTCTTGGGAAAGTGTATTGCTATTAATGTATGGAATTATTGAATTGGATGTTTCCTTAAGTCATTTCAAGTCTAAGTGGTTCTCAATTAGTACTTGTTTAGTTTCTATGTGTAGCATAACTGCTAATTCCTGATGATTTTTAGATGTTTTAAAATTATATTTTTGCCAGACTTGCTCAAAGTACCCAAAGTCATCAGGAAAATGGTTCTTAGTGAATTTTTAGTGCTGAATGTATTTGACAGTATGCATTTTCTTTTAGGGTTCAAAAATGCAGAGCAATAAAACCTTTAACCTGGAGAAGCAAAACCATACTCCAAGGAAGCATCATCAGCATCACCACCAGCAGCACCACCAGCAGCAACAGCAGTCAATACCCCCGCCAGTACCTGCAAATGGGCAACAAGCCAGCAGCCAAAGTGAGTAGATGCTAGGTAATGAGGTAGAAATAGGTTTCCTCTAGGGAATAGTTCTTTGGTTTTTAGATTAGTCTCTTAGGATTGTAAGGGGATAGGCCTTTATGGCACATCCTTGTTCTCCTTTTCCTTATTTACCTCTAAACATCTTAATGATGAAAAAAATCCGGTTGTTGGAGGACAGCAGTTGAGTACAGGTTGCTCTGCTGTGTTTGCACATTCTACTGCTAAACAGATGTTTGCATGTTTTATGTCAGAGCTTGTCCTTTAGAGGTAGTTAAAGAGAATATAGAGCAAGTCTTTAAGACTTAATGGAGAAGTCTAGTACTATAAGTATTATACTTTCAGCCTGGGGCCTGTGCCAGCCTTTTTTTTTTTTTTTTTTAGCTTTTTATTGTGAATTGAGCGAAGGTTAACAGATAATCAGCTTTACATTCAACACATTATATGCTTTGCTTCATCTCAATGATTACAATCCCCTTACTTCAACAAGTTATCCTACTTCCTCCCTGTGGCTTCCCTTTTTACATCTTATATTTCACAAATGAACAAAGCAAAAATATTTCATGTATATAACAACAACAAATACTTACAAAACAAAAAAATATGTATTCATTTCAATGGTCAAAGAGCATGTTATGCAAGCCAGTTTTTAAATGTACATTCCTCTTCATTCTGTAAACTCTGAGCATCTGTTACATATCTGTAACTAACAGTAGAACCAACCTCAACCCTCTTTATTTTCTAAAGAGTAGTCTTTCCTAACTCATTTATTTCCATTCCATTGTCCCATGCCTGAAAGAATGGGAACTATTATGGTTATGAATAGAGATGGGTGAGAGATTGGGAAATTTTATATATCACTCAAGAAAATATATTTTATATATTTTCTTGAGTGATAGTTTACATGGGAGAACATCATTTGTACACTCATCATTTCATTGCACTGATTACAGTCTCCTCTGTGCATCATCATTCAACAGTATTTGCTTCTATTCCCTGTTTTCTTTGTCGGGGGAGATGTACACAGAAACACTCAGGAATATATAATAATTTAAACAACCAAAGGGTACATTCTGCAAGCCTGCCTCCTGGCCATCAGCACACAGTCTAGATTCTTCAGCTGCTCTCTCTCTCTGTGTCCTCATCTCTGGTATTGCTGCTTCTCTGGATAGTGTCCCACATTCCACTCATGCTCTTCTCCCTTGATGGTCCTAGGGTCCTCTGTTCCTGGACTTTAAGATTAACTATTCCAGACTGGGAAATTTCTTAGTTGAAAAATCTGATCTCTTGCGATATAGGTCTCCTTGACCTCCTTAATCTGCTTGGAGGTCAAGGAGATCTATATCGCAAGAGATCAGATTGTCTTTCTGACTCTGGCCCATAGTAAAGCTGTTGACAAGTTCTCTCCACAGGTCTGCATACTGCTTTCACAATCTTAGGTGAGATTTACTGATAAGTGATTAGTGGATAAATTGCATTTGGAAATGGTGTTTGCATTCTCTACAGCAATTATGTTTACTAACTAGTTAGGCTGCCTGAGAATGTGACTCTAATTCTTTATCCCTTTTTTTTATATTATTATTGTGGTGTAATAGTACATTTCCACAATATTTTGACTGACTATGTGTCTTCTCTCAGATGAAGGCTTGACTATCGACTTGAAGAATTTTAGGAAACCAGGAGAGAAGACCTTCACCCAGCGTAGCCGTCTCTTTGTGGGCAATCTTCCTCCTGACATCACTGAGGAGGAAATGAGGAAACTGTTTGAGAAATATGGGAAGGCAGGAGAGGTCTTCATTCATAAGGATAAGGGCTTTGGCTTTATCCGCTTGGTGAGCAATTGTGGGCTTTGGGGCATGTGCTATAAAAGATGGGAAACCTGGGAATGATTAATAGGGAAAAATAGGCAATGGAAATAATTGTCAGGTGGTCTCTTTAACAAAAGCTTACAGGTGATGAAACAGAATCCAAAATACATTTTTTATTTTTCCTCGTGGATTTTGGCTTTAAGGACAAAATAGGTTTATTTTCCTCTTTGCTTTTTGATTGGAAATTTTCAAACATGTAGGCAGAATAGTATAATGAACCTGCCCAGCTTCAACAATTATCAACGTATGACTAATCTTATGTCATTTATGTCTTTCCCCTAGATATCCCCCACCCCCAACATAATATTTTCATATATGTTGATTTGATTTAGGAAAAATTTTAAGTATGTGGAGGAATCTCAATTTCTAGGCAAATAAATCTCAACTATGAGAAGCATAATGATCATTAGATGGGGTGGTCAGAATTAGTTTTCAATCTGGATTTGCATCTGATACTATATATGGGCAAGTTAATTTCTCGGGGGTTCAAATTCAAGGAGGTTCCTTCAAGACCTGTGCTTCTAAAGAAGCTTCTTGGAGAAGACATAAATGATTCTGGTTAAACTGGTGTGTAGCTAAGATTAAAATACTCAGGATGCTGTAGTATAAACCCAAAAGAAAATCAAACCCACTACCACTGAGTCAATTCCGACTCATAGAGACCCTGAGATTATAACCTTCACGGGAGCAGACAGCTTCATTTTTCTCCCATAGAGTGGGTTTGAACTGCTGGCCTTGTGGTTTGCAGTCCAATGCTTATCCTCCATGCCACCAGGGTCTCTGGCTGTATTATAAGGGTAAATATTAGAGTAGTGTTTATTTTTCTGAATGATATGCTACCTCTTCAGAAAACAACATGGAATTGTTGATAGGTAAGTAGTACTAACTTCTAGAATTTCCAATTATATCCAGTTTATTGGCAGACTACTAAAGCAATTGGAGCCCTGGTGTGGCGCTGTGGGTTGATGCGCTAGACTGCAAAGCCATTTGAACTGCAGAGTTGGCAGTTCAGGCTCACCAGCTGCTCCTTGGAAACCCTATATGGGTCACTATGGGTCACAGTCGACTCGATGGCACTTTACAACAACAACAACTAAAGCAATTAAGTTATAACCAAAGAATTAATCCAAAACATGTCTATTCTGTGTTTTCGGGGAGTTTTATTATTGAGCTGTGCTACTTTCAACTGTTGATGGATGCACATGTAGTTTTTGTCAAATTGAGTTATTCTAACTTTCCTCTGCTCACCAGGAAACACGAACTCTAGCGGAGATTGCCAAAGTGGAGTTGGACAACATGCCACTCCGTGGAAAGCAGCTGCGCGTGCGCTTTGCCTGCCATAGTGCATCCCTTACAGTCCGAAATCTTCCTCAATATGTGTCCAACGAACTGCTGGAGGAAGCCTTTTCTGTGTTTGGCCAAGTAGAGAGGGCTGTAGTCATTGTGGATGATCGAGGAAGGCCCTCAGGAAAAGGCATTGTTGAATTCTCAGGGAAGCCAGCTGCTCGTAAAGCTCTGGACAGATGCAGTGAAGGCTCTTTCCTGCTAACCACGTAAGTGAAGGGTTATTTTCAAAATAGATGTTATGTGCTACTTCCTTATTGTGCTCTAGGGAGTTAGCCACTAGGAGCTATGTTCCTGGGTTCATTTTAAAACATTTGAGTGAGAAGTGGGAGAAGTTTCATTAACTGGGCATTTAAAGATGCTACTAATTAAGTTTTCTAGTCCATTTCTGAGATGATTCCCCTTAAATTGGGAAAAGGGATTTTCATGTGATCTTAACAGAATGAGAATGAGGGTTTGAGAGATAAACCATTTCATTCTTTGAGTAGGCTGTCATTTAATCAGTGTTAAATTTCTACTTCGAAAAGTTCTGGAACCCCAGATTCTCTATAATGCCACGAAAATGACTTGGTTCCATGACCTGAATGTAAGAACCTTTTCGGAAGTTTCTTAATTGTCCAGCCTTGACTCCTAACTAGGTAATGACAGATGTAGAGAAGGAAAACTAGTAGGGTGTGATTTGATTAGCCCTGAGTTTTCTTCCCCCCAGATTTCCTCGGCCTGTGACTGTGGAGCCCATGGACCAATTAGACGACGAAGAGGGGCTTCCAGAGAAGCTGGTTATAAAGAACCAGCAGTTTCATAAGTATGTGTTTCTGACAGATTCTCTGTTATGTTTACCTAATCTTAAGGTGCCCTGGTGGTGCTGTAGGATAAACACTGGACTGCTAACTGCAAGGTGGCAGTTCAAACCCACCAGCCACTCTACCGGAAAAAGATAAGGCTTTCTGCTCCCATCCAGATATACAGCCATTGGAACCCTATACAGGGTCTCTTTGAGTCAAATCAACTTGATAGCAGTGGATTCAAGGAAGCTTGTAAAGGGATGTAAGAAAGAGGCAGATTTTTAATGTATGTGTTTGATAACAGTCATTATTTTGAACCTCAGATAAAATGCAGTACTTAGTTGTGAAAATCTTAGAGCAGAATTAGTGACCCAGGACCCTTGTCTATAGGGAGCGAGAGCAGCCACCCAGATTTGCACAGCCTGGCTCATTTGAGTATGAATATGCCATGCGCTGGAAGGCACTCATTGAGATGGAGAAGCAGCAGCAGGACCAAGTGGACCGCAACATCAAGGAAGCACGAGAGAAACTGGAGATGGAGATGGAAGCTGCTCGCCATGAGCACCAAGTCATGTTAATGAGGCAGGGTGAGTATAAACCCGTAAAGTATTAAAACTAGAACAAAGTGACAGTTTTCAGGGATTTATATTAATCAGTAGAGAAAGGCCTGAATCTCTACTTTTATTCTCTGAAATATTTTATTGATCTTGGTAGGCAAATGAGCTTGGAGATGTGACAGAGAATACTGGATTCTGTGGAAAAGGAAATATAGGTTTGACTTTATTTTTGGAATCTGGATACCTCGGACAGCCACTTAGGGATTATATTCCCTTTGTTTTTTGGATCTTTATTTTTAGAAACTTTTTCATCTACGTGAGGAGAATGAAGAATATTCTGAATCATTTTGTTGTTTTTCTAGATTTGATGAGGCGCCAAGAAGAACTTCGGCGGATGGAAGAGCTGCACAACCAAGAGGTGCAAAAACGAAAGCAGTTGGAGCTCAGGTAACTTTCTTGAACGCTGTTTGCATGATAACTCTAAAAGGGAATATCTCATTCTTGCTTCCTACCACCATGCTAACTGGTGTATTTGTAAATATGTTGGCAAATATTTCCTGACTTCTTCTCAGGTTGTCCTTTTGGATGGAGAGATTTTCTAGCTGCCCATGGCTCTAGGAATTACCTTGGGCTGCACTACAGAGGAAGCAGCTGAGTGCTGGTCTCATGAGGTTCCTTTGGGAGAGGAGAACTTTTTTTTCTGAAGGACACATATGGGTTACCTTAGAGCTGGGCACGCTTAACAGTGAGTTTTCCTGGAGAGCTATGATAGTTTTCAGTAGACTCTTGATCTCCTTGGCAGAGTCCCTTATTAAGATAGCCTGCTCAAGTTCTGGAGTGCCTCTTCCTTAAATACCTTGGTGGCTCTTGTCTTAAATACCTTGATGACTCTCTGTAGGCAGGAGGAGGAGCGCAGGCGCCGTGAGGAAGAGATGCGGCGGCAACAGGAAGAAATGATGCGGCGACAGCAGGAAGGATTCAAGGGAACCTTTCCTGATGCGGTATATCTCCCATGTGCCCATCATGTATCAGGCCATTCATGACATGACAAACCCACCATAAATTGCCCACTAAGACCTATAATATACACCAGGCTCTGACCAATTTTCCCATGCTATGAAATTCTTTTAGAAAGAATTCATAGGAAGGAGAAGTAAGATTTGAAGGGGAGCTCATCTTGCCTAACAAAAATTATTTAGAATAAAAAGCTGGGGCCACTGTACTATTCAGATTCAATGACTATAGAGTGATATATATTGAATCCTTTGTAGTTGCCAAGTTTGGAGACCTAGGAGAAACTATTTCTCTCCCCCTTCTTTTCTCTTCTCCTATACCTAATAGGAGAATTCTTGACTTGTGACTTTGAACTTACTCCATAACTACCAAGGAGCTTGTTGGTGTTCCTCAGCTTGGTCCCACTGTTCTTGACCATTCCATCTACTCCCCTTAGTATTTGATTCTCAGTGGATTGTGGTAGAATGCATTCTGTCATGGGTTGTGTTTGCGTATTTTTTATGTTTTTCAGAGAGAGCAGGAGATACGGATGGGCCAGATGGCTATGGGAGGTAAGGATTTAGGGGTTAGATCCTGATTTCCATTTTCTTCTAGGATGGGCCTTGGTGAATTATATAAACTTCTTGCACCCAGTGCAGATTTGAGGGTCTGGCATTTCTGGGCATCTTACTTTCTCTTTTGTTTTTTTTTTTTTGTTTTTTTTTTTTTTTGGTTTTGGTGGCATGTCTTAGCACAGAGGTCTTACTGAATTGTTTCCTTTGGTAGCATAGAAAGAGACTTAACAATCTGTATGCCCTGTACTGATTACACTGCTTTGTCTTAGGTGCTATGGGTATAAACAACAGAGGTGCCATGCCCCCTGCTCCTGTGCCTGCTGGTACCCCAGCTCCTCCAGGACCTGCCGCTATGATGCCAGATGGAACTTTAGGATTGGTAATAAAATACAGGACTTTACAGTAACTAGTAGTAGGAAGGGAAAGGCTCTACCTTCACAACCCCTGAAACTACCTTGATTTTACGACAAAAAACAATATTTAGGACTACTGTTATTTAAGTGTAGTAGAGTCAGTTCGAACTCATAGCAATCCTTTATAAAGTTTTGGAGGAGTGGCTGGTGAGATTAAATCACTGATCTTGTGGTTCAATGCTTATACTACAGCGCCACACCAGGACTCCTTAGGACTACTGGTATCCATTAAATGTAACCTGAAGATTTTTATTTTTTAATCTTGCGCAAACCCAGTTTTAAGCTATATTTTGTTTAGGAGTTCAGCAAATGATTTTGTTTACCAGCTCAGTGTGATTGATTATTTAGCTACTACCCTTGGATCAAATTACTATTTTTTGAAGGGACGGCAGTAAGGGCTAGATCGATGTGACTCCAAAGGCTCAGAATCCTGAGATTGTTTTGGTTCAAGTGTCAAAATGTTTGGATTAAAATTGGGACCCCTGGTGGCACAGTGGTTAGGTGCTCAGCTTCTGACTAGAAGGTCAGCAGTTTGAACTGCTCCATTGGAAAATATGTGGCATCTTCTATAAAGATTTACAGCCTTAGGGAACTGTAAGGGGGCAGTCTGAATTAATTCTATGTGGTGGGTTTTTTCTTTCTTTTTTAAAAGTCTTAGATTGCTGAAGGTGGTGCTGTAGGATAAGCACTAGACTGCTAAATATAAGGTCAGTGGTTCCTATTTACCTGATACAAGGTTGCTATGAGTCAGAAACAACTCAGTGGCATTTAACAACAGGTTGCTGAAGAGTGATGGCTCAGCCTTGTCCAGATACCTACCTTAGGAAATCGAGCTTGGCTAGAACTTATCCTGTGTCCCTGGGTGATACAAATGGTCAAAACACTGAGCTACTAACTGAAAGAATGGCAGTTAAAACCCACCCAGAGATGCCTTAGAAGACTGGCTTATGAAAGGTTGCAGCAGTGAAAACCCTATGGAGCACAGTTCAATCTAAAATCTTGGGGTTGCCATGAATCAGAATTGACTCAGCAACTTAAAAGAATAATTTGCTTCATTTCTTTTTTTTTTAAGAATACACAGCAGAACATAAACCAATTAAATAGTTTCTGCATGTATAATTCAAGTGTGTGTATGTGTTTTAATAACTTACCCAACCTAGGGATTTAGTATATAATATCGTCTAGTAGTGAGAAATAAGGAGCTCTGGTAGCGTAGTGGTTACGAATCGGGCTGCGAACTGCAAGTCAGTAGTTCAAAACTACCACCAGCTGTTCTGTGAGGAAAAGATGAGGCTTTCTGCTCCCGTAAAGATTTACAGCCTCGGAAGCCCTGTACAGGTTTGCTATGAGTCAGAACCGACTCTGCGGCACATAACAACAACAACAGTAGTGAAGAATGGATATAAGAAGATAAATATAGGACAGATGGATAGATTCTAATCCAGGCGATCTTTTCAGGGTCATCCACTAGTTTTGTTCTAAACAACCTTGGTCACCCCTAGCAATTGGGAGCCTTATTGAACAATTGGGCAGAAAATTCCTTCCTAGTTGACTAATAATGAGCCTTCAAGGGAGGGACTATAGGTGGGTGTGAAGCTTAGGACAACAGTTCTGTTGTAACACTGCTCTTTTTTAATTTTTAAGACTCCACCAACAACTGAGCGTTTTGGACAAGCTGCTACAATGGAAGGAATTGGGGCAATTGGTGGAACTCCTCCTGCATTCAATCGTGCAGCTCCTGGAGCAGAATTTGCTCCAAACAAGCGTCGTCGATACTAATAAATTTGCTGTCTATTTTCCCAAAACCTGTAAAAGAAGGACCCTTTTGGACTAGCCAGAATTCTACTCTGGAAGAGTGTTAGGGATTCCTCCCAATAGTTAGGTCTTCCCTGCCTGTACTACCCTAGGGAGTATACTGGAGGCAGAGGGCAAGGGAGGGGTAGTATTTAACAAATCAATTCTGTGTGTGGTATATTATTTAACAGATCATTTCCATGTGGTGCATTCCTGAAGTCTCAAGTGTGACTATTGAGGGCATGGAGGGAACCATGGCAAAAATGGATCCAGTTAGAGCCCCGTTAATCTTGATCATTCCGTTCTTTGTCCCCTCCTGTTTTATTTGCTTTCTCGTCTTTACATCTCCCAACCCCAGAGACACTGCCACATATACCACAAAAAACAAACAACCCCCAATGACCTTAGCCCCATTGCTCCACTCACTCCCCAGGTCAGAATTCAAGCAAATGTCCACAGAGGTCACAGACAACATACATACGGTTCTGTTATATCCAATATATTACCCCTTCATGTCCTAAAGGAGACATCTTCTCTTATAGATTTTCATTTTAGTATATCTTTTTTTAAAATTTGTGTTAACCTCCATCTTTTTCTTGAATGAAAACAGCCCAGAAATGCCCCCTTTTGTGTCTATGATGTTGCTATTCACAGCTTTCTTGATAGGCCTAGTACAGTCTTGGGAACAGGGTTGCTGTATGTTGAAGGTCTGACAGTAGCTCTTAGCCTTGCCTGTCTTAGGTAGTTATGCTGTGCATTTTTTATTGGTGTACCATGTTTGATTTGTCCCTGATACATTTAATTTGAAGTTTCCTGAGAAATGGAGCAGTAATACAGCATCAACTTATTAAAATACATTTTAAGCCTTTTACTTTTCTGTGCTATTTTTGAATGGGAATGGAGGGTGAAGGGTACTTCTGTCTTAGGAGATGAGCACTATGCTCTATAAGGGTAATCCTTATTTAGCTTTTGATTAAAGTATTAGTCATTTATCTGGCGGGTTATGATTGAAATGGTTGGTAAGGATCGGTGCTATTGGGACTACACAGAAGTATTGAAAATAGCAAAACTGGCTCTGAAAGGGGACAAAAATAGGCTGGAGGAATTGAGGGGCACCCTCATTGAGCTGAGGTATAGCTCAGTTAGTATTCATTTCTGAGCAGCTGCTGTTATGTCATTGGTTTGGGATTGGCATGGTGAATCTAAAGCTGAACATTGGTTAGCTGACCTCATTCAAGTTCTAAGCCCTACTCAGGCCTGATCTTTTTTTCCTGAGCCTTAAGAGCTAAAATACTACTGAGCTCTTCCCTATTGGCTGGAAAGACCATTCAAGTTCCCTTGCCCATGTTAGGAGGTATACGCCTCCTGAACTAAAGATAGACACAGCTGGCCCTTCTAGGCAGCTAAAAACTGCTAGATGAATAGGTGTTTCCCACTCAGCAGTCAGACTCCTTGAGATACCCTTTCTATAAGCCTCCATGTCTCGTCTCTGCCATAACAAAGGCTGTGGGCAGCACTTTGACCCCAATACCAACTTTGCTGGTGAGTATTCCTGACCTTGTTAGAGCCTCTGTGGGTGTTGGGTGGTCAGGTGTGGTGGGATAGTATAAAGGAGCAGGGAAAGAAACTTGGTGTATGTACCTGCCATACATAGTTTGGCCTGGACGATCTTCACCTTTTACTGTTAACATTTCATATGGAAAGAAACCATGAGTATAAACCTGGGAAGAGGTGGGATAAGATCAGTATAATTATCTTTCCTTCCTTGATCTTCCCCTCTGCCGGTATTCAGATTCTTGTTGCCATCACCCTGGTGTCCCAATCTTCCATGATGCACTAAAGGTGAGGAGTAGGTGATGGGGTGGTGGGTGGGTGGGAGCATTTCTCAAAGGAAATACACCCAGGAATCTAAGCTGAGATGGATCTTTTATTAGGGTTGGACCTGCTGTCGGAAGCGAACTGTAGATTTCTCTGAATTCTTAAGCATCAAGGTAAATCCTTTTTTCCGCTGGATTCTACCCCTAATCAGGATTCAACCCCTAATCCATATCTCCTTATACATACTAGGGCTGTACTATGGGACCACATTGTTCTGAGAAGCTCCCTGAGGCCCCACACCCTGAAGGCCCTGCCACAAGCAGTTCATTTCAGGAACAAAAACCTCTGAAAAGGAGTCCAAAGTCAGCAGAGACTTTGCGCCAGGAGAGACCCAAGTAAAGAGGAGGTTCCTGGGTTTTCCTACATTTCATGCAGCCACCTAGATTAATGGATCATTGCGATTTGGGACCTAGGAATCAGGAATGTGAAAAGGGCCAGGGTAGCACATATTCTGTGCCTTAGAGAAATAATTAACCTTTGCTCTAGGGTGGTATGGGGTGGTGATGGATTGATCTCTCAAGTCAACAAAATAGCCTCTCACAAATACATTATTGAGAATGGTGTGTTTTATTATTATTATTATTAAAGCTGGTGTTAGCAGCTAAGAGGCTGTAGAGAAGAATAATTATTTTTGTGAGAATAGTATGAACAACAGAAAGTCACATTAAGTCTACAATTTAAGTGAGGATGAATAGTAGAAATCTGAGATTTTTAAATGCTAGGGCTAAAGTAAACTATAAGGCTGCTAACCTCAAGGTTAGTGATTCAAACCTACCAGCTGCTCCATGGGAGAAACAAAGTTGGCTCCTATAAAGATTTACAGTTTCAGAAACCCTATAGTGTAGTTCTACTCTGTCCTATAGGGTCACTATGTTGTTGTTAAGTGCTGTCAAGTCGATTCCAACCCATAGCGACCCTGTACAGGGTTTCCGAGGGAGCAGCTGGTGAGCTTGAACCACCAACCTTGCAGTTCAAACAGCTTTGCAGTCTGGCACATTAACCCACAGCGCCACAAGGTATCAATTCAATGGCAGTGGATTAAAAGGTTGGAGAGGAACAGGAAATGACAACTGTTCTGAAGAGCAATGTGGTTAAATTTAGAGCAACAGAGTGGATGAGCAAGAGAAGCCCTGGGGATTTCCCCAGGGTTCAGGGATTTGAGATGTCCATAGAAATGGAAATTGGCAAAAGGGTTGCTGCCTAACACTTACAGCCTTGCCCCACTCTCGCCAGATTTCTTTTACTGCATTACAAAGTATTGGGGTTGGTGATCATGGTTAATGGGTCAAGATTAAATCACCCCACCCATGACTTTTAGGTCCGATTTGCCACTGAAGTTACTGCCTCTAAATATATCCCAAGCCCTGGAAACAGCATTGGAACAGAAGGAACTACACCAGAAACCTGGGACAGGTATGTTGGTCCTTAGTAACTATCCTTATAGACTGGAATTTAGTAGATGTGACCACTGGGTAAGGAGATTGATAGATTCCTGACTCACTTTTTCTTGCCCAGGACTTGACAATAGTCTATTCCAGACTGGTTCCAGCTGTCAGAACCCAGGATGTGATGCTGTGAGTGAGAATTTTGGGGGCTGAAGCATGTGGCTAAAAGGTGCTACACCTGAGGGATGACTATGGGTAATGAGAATGATTGGGGTATACCTCAGAATGACTTGATTCCTTTTCTGATTTTCCCTTATCCTTAGGCTTACCAAGGCCCTGAGAGTGATGCTACTCCATGTACCTACCACCCAGGAGCACCTCGATTCCATGAGGGGTGAGGGAGGGGACAGGGTGGGCTGTGAGACAGGTTTCTCCCAATCAATAAATTGATCATAATATGCAAATGGCTATTTGTGGTAGGGAAAGGAAGATTCAGTTAAATATCTTCCTATATCAGGATGAAGTCTTGGAGCTGTTGTGGCATCCAGACCCTGGATTTTGGGGCATTCCTGGCACAACCAGGATGCAGAGTTGGTAGACATGACTGGGGAAAGCCGGTAAGCCCCAACTTTCCTTAACTCTTGATTATAACACAACTCATGGCAAGCTCCCTATCTTGTCCCCTTTGTACAAACCAAATAAGATTCGGTTCCTTATCCTTCAACAGCCCAGAGACTATGCAATATGACAGAATATTAATATTTCTAATACTTTTTGTCTTTTCTCCACCCCCACCATGAGGATTCCTCTTGAGTTAAGAGTTCATTATTTTTTTTTTCAATGACTGATTTAAGAGTTCATTCTTAACCATCCTCATTTCACATCTTATCTTTAGCTGCCAGCATCTTGCCGCCATGATTGGCATCAGACAGATTCCTTAGCAGTGGTAACTGTGTATGGCCAGATTCCATTGCCTGCATTCAACTGGGTGAAGGCCAGTCAAACTGAGGTGAGGAATCATCTGGTACTCGATGGGAGGCTAGTGAATTAGGTAGTGTTACTATGTGCAGTTAACATACAGGCCCAATAGTTTCCTGAGAGGAAGGTAATGCTATCAGGTCTGGGTTTTTTGGCTGGCCCTTGGATGTGGAACCACACCTCTGTCATGGTTCTCTGCCATAATGAATTAATTATCTGACCTTCTGGAATTGTTAATTTTTTTTTCTTTCAGCTTCATATCCACATTGTCTTTGATGGTAACCGTGTGTTCCAGGCACAGATGAAGCTCTGGGGGGTAAGTGAAGCTAAGCAGGCACAAGAGAGGGAGGTAAATGAGTTGAAAAGAAGGGCTGGACTGAAATTAACTATGTGTCTTAGGGGAAGGAGTGGTAGTGGGAAAGCAGAGGTATTCTCTTCATTTTCTTTGATATTTTCTTTCTTTCTCTTGTCTCTCTCTCCCTTACTATATTGTCTTATTCCTCCCATTTATATATTTTTTCTCTTGACATTTTTCTTTCTGCTAACTTTTGTCTCTGTCATTCATCAACCCACTCCCCTAAGTCCCTTTGATTTCCTCATTTTTCTGTGCCCCTCTTTATCTTTCCCTCCTCCTTAGGTCATAAACGTGGAGCAGAGCTCTGTCTCCTTGATGCCATCTCGGGTTGAAATCTCCCTGGTAAAGGCTGACCCAGGATCCTGGGCCCAGCTGGAGCACCCCAATGCTCTAGTTGAGAAGGCTAGCACTGAGATTGGGTTAGAAATGGATAAGGAAGAATCTGAGGATTCAGATGATGACCTAAGCTGGACAGAGGAGGAAGAGGAGGAAGCAATGGGGGAATAGAGATACCAGCCAGCCAAGTATCTAGATAGGAATTCAGTAACTCCTTTAGGGCCTCAGAGACCAGGATGTGATTGGCCATGTGTTATCATTAAGCAACAAGGGGCTGAAGGAGGAGAGAACAAAAGTACCCAAACGATGCTGTTTTCCCCTTAAATAAATCTTGTATTCTGCAGATTTACAGTGTCATTCTCTCACCTCACTATCTAAGATCATTTTAATTCTCACTAGCTTCTATATGTGTTCAACACACACGTGTGAAAACAAGTACAAACACATTTTGTCTATTCTTCACAGCCGCCAGTTGTTTACTGAGTACTTACTGTGTGCCCAGGTGGCTTCGAGATACCCAAAAACAGATTTGTTCATTCCTCTCAAAAAATTAGTCTGACTGGCAAGTAAAGGTTAATTTGCATAAAATAATAATGAATGTTACCAGGCCACTTAACTGAGTATTAAATTGTACAGTACAGTTTTTAAAAGTTGTAGGAGTTGAGAGAATGTGGAACAATATGAACTGGGATTAGTAAGGGAAGGTTTCATGGAAGATGTACATTTTTTTAATAACTTCGTTGAGATATAATTCCCATGATATAGTTCACCCATTTAGAGTACATGTTTCAATGTTTTTGTATGTTTATGTGCTGTGCAACCACCCAAAAATATACCCAGTACTCATAAGCAGTCATTCTTCACATCCTCTCAAACCTACAACTCTAGGCAACCACTCATCTACCTTCTATCCCCATAGATTTGTCTGTTCTGAACTTTCCATTTAAATGGACTCATCTAATATGTGATCTTTTGTGACTGGCTTCTGTTACTCAGCAGGATGTTTTTGAGGTTCAACCATGTTGTCGTATATACCGTACTTTATTCCTTTTTATGGCTGTATATTATATCCTTGAATATTATGAAAACACATAAAGATTGATATCCTAGGCATTAGTGAACTTAAATGGACTGGTATTAGCCATTTTAAATTGGACAATCATATGGGTTACTATGCTGGAAATGTCAAATTGAAGAGAAATAATATCACATGTATTGCCTAAAAGAGCATTTCTAGATCTTTTCTAAAGTACAATGCTGTCTGTGATAGAATAATATCCATATGACTACAAGAAGGCCTGCTAATATCACTATTACTCAAATTTATGCACCAACTAAAGCCACTGATGATGAAATTGAAGAATTCTACCAGCTTCTTCACTCTGAAATTGATTAAACATGCAGTCAAGATGCACTGAATGGAAAGGAAAGAGACCTCAGATAGCAAAGCACTGCTTAAGAAAACAATCTGCCTGATCTCAAAATTTACTACACAGCCACAAAGGTTTGTTTATGTTTTTGTTTTTAAAGCCTTGGAAACCCTATACAGGGTCGCTATATTTAACAACTGGTACAAAAAAGGTACATAGGTCAATGTAATAGAATTGAGAACCCAGAAGTAAATCCATCCACATACAGTTAGCTGACAAAGGGCCAAACACATTAGATGGGGGAAGAGATAGTCTCTTCAACAAATAGTGCTGGCAAAACTGGAAATCCATTTGCAGAAGAATGAAACAAGACGCATACCTCACACCATATGTGAAAACAAACAATGTGGATTAAAGACCTAAATGTAAAAAGTAGAATTATAAAGGCCATCAATGAAAAAATATGGACAAACTTAGGGGCTCTAATACATGGCATAAATACACTATCAAACATTACTAAAAATACACAAACAGTAGAAGACAAAATAGATGACTGGACCTACTAAAAATCAGACAATTAAGTGCATCAAAAAATTTTGCCAAGATAGTAAAAGGGAGCCAGACAACCACACAAGATGGCAGCCACCATGGGCTTGGGCAATTTACGAAACCCCAGATATACAGCCTTAAAATAGAATGTGGAGGTGTAGTGGCCTTGTTCTCTGCCTTGCTCCACTGTTTGTGCTAACGCTTCCCAGCTCTCACAAGCCTTGGGTCTGCTGCTTCCTTAGGCTTGAACACCATGCCTTCAATTAAGCTGCAGAGTTCTGATGAAAAGATATTTGAAGTTGATGTGGAAATTGCCAAACAATCTGTGACATCAAGACCATGTTGGACGATATGGGAATGGATAATGAAGGAAATGTTGACCCAGTTCCTCTCCCAAATGTTAATGCAGCAATATTTAAAAAGGTCATTTAGTGGTGCACCCATTATAAGGATGGCCCTCCTCCTGAGGATGATGAGAACAAAGAAAAGGAACAGCCGACATCCCTGTTTGGGACCAAGGATTCCTGAAAATTGACCAGGGAACACTTTTTGAGCTTATTCTGGCTGAGAACTACTTAGATATCAAACGTTTGCTTGATGTTATTTGCAAGACTGTTACTAATATGATCAAGGGGAAAACTGAAGAGATTTGTAAGACCTTCAATATAAAAACTACTTTATTGAAGAGGAGGAAGCCCAGGTACGCAAAGAGAACCAGTGGTGTGAAGAGAAGTAAAATGTTGTGTCTGATACCATAACACTGTAAGGATTATTCCAAATACTAGTTGTACTGCTCTGTTTATAATTGTTAATATTAGACAAACGCAGCAGAAAATCAATTGTATTGGCATAATATTGTTTTCATTGCATGTGTAGTACAGATTGTAGAACTAAGAGCTGCGTTTCTTCTAGTGTGATCAAAAGTTGTTTGTTTTTTCTTTGCTCTGAATAAAACTGAACTGTGGGTTCTCTATAGAAAGTGAAACAAAAAAAAAGAATGTGGACCTAAATACTCAGAAGCATCCCCCTTTGTAAGACTTGTAACAAAAATTAATATGAATGGAGTGAATAGTTCTAAAGGAATGGTGGACCCAAAACCATACCAGTGCTAGCAAAATGGCAGAATTCATGTAGCATCAAAGTTGTCCTGCAAGAGCTTCGGCACCTAATGATATCTAAAGAAAATATGAAATTCCCTCAACCGCCTAAAGGACAGTGTTACAGCAATTTAAAGGAACAACTACAGACCCACCCCCTCGTCCCACCCCCATTTGGTTTAGGCAGTCTTCATTTTCCACAGTAGTAAGTTTTCTAGATATGTCTCTTATAGACCTCAAAGTACTGGAAAGGAAGCTCCCATTCAAGGGCAAGTTATCTTAAGATACTGTAAATGATACTAATTTTTTTGTCCATTTGAAATATGTAAATTGTGCTATAACAAATCATCCTGTCCAGTGTATCCACTGTCCATGTAGCTGAACTCCTGGGATCAAGAAAGTATATTTAAATTGATTCCCATCTTAACTAGTGGGGCACATCTAACTCAACTGTGGAAAGACATATCACAAAATCACCTTGCTGCTGATTACATGGCCTGGGGTTTTTGCCTTCTCCTCCCTGGCCCCACCCCTGCCCTCAGTCCTCTCTCCCTGCCGCAGCCCTCCAGCTTGGGGTGGCTTCTTAGAATAGATATGAAAGTTTTGGGTTGCAGCCTATGGAACTACTGCTGGGTGTGTGGGGTGCTTAAGTCTTAAATGATGTCCCCCATTCCAAGCCATCCTTCCCCACTCTCCTCCACTACCACCTTGGCTGAAGCATAGACTGTAATCCTTCTGCTTCCCTCTGAAATTGGCCTTTGGTGAGGAATTCAGGGCTTTCCCCCCTATCTTTTCTCTCCCCACTGGATTGAGGAATGCTGCTTTTCCCTTCCTCCTCCCAAAGCCCCTCCCTGCATCCCACCACCCCACACTCCCCATGACATTCCCCATGACACTAACTTGCTTTGGCCAGAAGCCATCAGGTAAGGTTGGAATGAATCTCTGACCTCCCTTGTTTCTCTCTGTAACCCCATTGATTTACTGTCCACTAGTCTGGGACATGAACATGGGGTCCTCAGCCCTGCCACCACCCTCTGCTGTTATTGATTTGCTGTTTTTGCTCAGGTTTTGATATGGTGGAAAAAACAGTCACCAGGTTACTCAGACTTGCCAGCTCTCAAAGTTCTTGGTGGTTGAACTCAGAGAAAGGTCACATGAAAACACTTGTAAGCACACACGATCCCTCTGAATGTTTTCTCTTCCTGTCATTGCTTTACTTTTAAAAAAGAAAGAAGTTTTAAACAAACAGGGCTCTCACTTGGTCATCCTTACAATCCATTTAGGTCTAGTTTGGAGTCTGACAATTGAAACAAAAAGAACCTTGAATTTGGCGCGTACTTTGGTTTTGGTGCTAGTGCTGTCCACGATCCTAAGCAGGGTGTCAAAAAATTTGGTGTGTGCATGGCAGAGCACTGAAATTAATGGGCTTGACTTGCTGGCAAATTGCCACGTTGTTCCACTTTTCTGTTCAGGACCACTAAATGTTGACATGTGGATGCATACTGAAAATTAAGCAATTCATTGTATTCTTTAAAAAAAACAACACTGAAACCTTTCAACAAACTGATGCAGCAGTGAAGGTGCTCACTTGTCTATGCCAAAATTTGAAAAACCAGCTACCTGACCAACCTATTGGAAGGGATCCATATTTGTGCCCATTTCAAAGAAAGGTACCCAATGGAATGCAGAAATCATCAAACAATATCATTAATATATACACGTGAAAATTTCCTGAAGATAACTTTTTAAAAACGGTTGCAGCAGTGCATTGACAGGGAGCTGCCAGAAATTCAAGCTCGATTCAGATGAGGATGTGGAACTAGGAACATCATTGCTGACATCAGATATGCATCATGCTTGGTAAAGTGGAGGGTCAATAAAAAAGAGAAAGACCCTCGACAAGATGAGTGGCACAGTGGCAGCAACAATAGGCTTAAACATAACAGTGTTTTGTTCTGTTGTTCATAGAGTCGCTGAGTCAAAACTTATTTGAAGGCCCCTGGTGGGATGCTGTGGGCTAATGCGTCAGACTGCAAAGTCGTTTGAACTGCAAGGTTGGTTCAAGCTCACCAGCTGCTCCTTGGAAACCCTATAGAGTGTCTCTATGGGGTCAGAATCGGCTAGAAGGCATTTAACAACAACAACAACATTCTATTGTATATATCACATTTTGTTTACCTTTTCTTCAGTTGATGAATAGTTGGATTGTTTCTACTTTTTGGCTATTATAAATACTGCTTCACTGAACATTGGTGTACAAGTTTTTATGTGTACATACGAGGGATCTTCAAAAAGTTCGTGGAAAAATGGAATGAAAAGATAATTGAATTT